TTCCTTCCTAGTGCTGGGATTAATGGCGTGTGTGCTTCCCAAATACTGGGATTAAAGGCGTGAGATCTCAAGTGCTGGGATTATAGGCATGTGACCCCCAAATACTAGGATTAAAGGTGTGTGCCACCACTGCCTGGCCTCTGTGTTTAATCTAGTGGCTTGTTCTGTCCTCTGATCTTCAGACAAATTTTATTAGGGTACACAATATATCACCACATTTTCTCTTTTTTTGTCTAAAATAATAAAAGAAGGTTATAATTAATATAAGAAAAACTATATACAATAAGTAAATTAAGTATATATAATATATACAGTCAGGAATTACATTAACAATGTCCAGTTCATTAATATTTCACAGATTATGGGAAAATACTCCATTATTTATTATAGTAAGTCTAAAATGTTGTACCTAACTCACCTTCTATCCTAATTTGCATTACCAACTGAAAACTATCTTTTGATGTCTTTCAAACTTATACACTTTACACTTCTGTAGTGAGTTTCTTTTCTGAATTTGTTAACAAGGAAAACTATAAGGATCTAGTCTTCAACTCCCCCAGAGACCACCCGAGAAGGAAGTAATATTAACTGAGTAAGCAGGAAGTGCAAACAAGCAACTTCCAAAAATTGTGAGAAATGACAGAAACAGCTGGCTGCCTGGACAGTCACCCAAGGTTCCTCTGCAATGTTGGAGCATCATCTTCGGCCTACAGGCCTAGCATATCTGACAGACTTTCCTGTGAAGCAGGATTTTCTAAAGAGCCTTCCTACCTTGTCTTGGCAAGGTTCGGTAGTCCTTTCTTTCGTGTCCTGCTTGTCCATTTTGGACAGTGTACTGTCAGCAGTCGAGGCAAGGGCGTTTTCTTGCCCAGTGGCTAACTTTTGCCACAAAGAAAGTAAACTCCATAAGGAGTTTCTTCAATGCTCATCATCTTCTCTGAAGTAGATTGGTACTGTCAGAAGCAGACATGTCTCATTGTCATAAAAAAAAGAATCTATGTTATTAAAACATCTTAAATGCCATATTCTGTAGATCTCTGAAGTGTTTGAAGGTGACCTGTTTATCTAAAATATCTCTGTTTGACCTTGAAAACATACCTAACCTGACTACGAGTTTGATTTTAATAGGTGACTAACTACTAACCTGCATTTCTTTATATCCTAATTAGTTGGTGATAATAACTTTCAAGGACTAGAAATTTGCATTACATTGTTCAATGAGCTGTATAGATACAATACGTTGAACAAGAGTAGAAATATACGTACAGTATTTTCTAACAAAATTAATCTCAAATTTGTATCAATGTATACAATTTGTATACAATATACAAAAATCCATCCAATGTAAAATATTTAAAAGTAGTAGTTGCTTTTTAAAAGTAGATTCAATAATCTACCTTTTTATCGTATCATATCCATATTCTCCCATTTTTCTTTTGAGAGTAGATTCAATAATCTACCCTTTTATCCTATCATTTCTCTATCTCAGTAACAGAGAAAAGCAGCTGCAGCTTCATTTACTGGAGCGCAGTGTGAATTCACGAAACACTTCCACTTCTGAGCGGCAGATGCGTCTCCGTTGGTGGAGTGCTCGCTTGCCGAGCACCCTTGAAGCTCTGAGGTCAATCCCCAGTGCCACATAAACTGGGCATGGTGGCATGAGTCTGTAACCTTAGCACTCAGTGGGTGGAGGCAGAAGGGTCAGAAGTTCAAGGTCACCCTCAGCTACAGAGTGAGTCGGAAGCCAGCCTGGACTACAGGAGACCGTCTCAAAACACAAAATCGAAAAACAAAACTTCCATTTGACAAATGACAATGAATAACTTTGAAGGCACTATCCTGCTTTCTAGGAATCCTGGGAGGGCGGGGCAGCATCTGGGCACACCATGCAGCACACAGGAAGACAGGGAGGGTGACAGACGCCAGCTCCCCTGTGAGAGCTGGAACAAGGCTGTGAACATCACAGCTCTGGCAGAAAGCATCCTGCTTTCTCCCGCTGCCGGCAACATCTTCAGCGTGGCAGAGGTGGGCAAACCCACCAATCTCTTCTGTCTCACAGTCCTTGTGCTCAGATGAAATGCCCTGGGGAGAAGCTAGCTGGCCACACCAGACTGCTACACCACTGTCGTGGCACACAGCCCTCCACACAGTGCCGGTCTGTCCTGATCCCTCCCTCGTCCTACCGCGGCGAACAGTCCCTGAGTCTGCCTCCACAGCCAGCTTCGTGTCCTTCCTTCATGAGGACACCTCACTCACATGCCTGGGAAAGAGCACATACAGGTGTCACATCCAGGCACCGTCCACCACGGTTCATTGTGGTGTTCTTTGATTATTGCTGTGTGCTTGAATGCTGCCATGGCGGGTCCAAGTTGAGGTGACAGCATTGTGTGTGCACGTGTGTGTGTGTTTTCAGTTGCATGTATGTGTGAGGGCACAGGACAACTTTAGGTATCATTCCTCAGGCACTGTACATTTTTGTTTGTTTGTTTTTTCAAGACAGGGTTTCTCTGTGTAGTTTTGGTGCCTGTCCTGGATCTCATTCTGTAGACCAGGCTGGCCTTGAACTCACAGAGATCCACCTGGCTTTGCCTCTCGAATGCTGGGATTAAAGGCGTGCGCCACCACCATCCGGCCACTTTTTTTTTTTTTTTTTTTTTTTTTTTGAGACAGGGTCTTTCACTGATCTGGAATTCACCAAGTAGGTGGGCCGGCCACCCAGAGAGCCCCACGGTCTATGTATCTTTGCCTCTTTCTATGGGATTTTATTGTGCACCAACGTGACTCTCTTTTTAAACATGTCTGGGGATGGGACTCGGGTCCTCGTGCTCCCAAAGCAAGCACTTTACCAACTGAGTCCTCCTCCCCAGCCCTGGGCACATCGCTCTCTGGAGCCCCAGGTGTCTCGCAAATGGTGGAAGTGTCTGGTCGGCACTTATGGGTTCTAAGCAAGAGTCATGAAACTCTCCAAGAAAAGGAGGCAAGTCTGCTCCACTGTGCCACCGTCGCCCCCACCGGCAGGGTTGTAGTTAAAGAACCTGGACAAAAGTGACTTAAAGGAGGCGGAGCTGGCTCAGTTCACCCGCCGGTTCAAGGGAATGTCCATCATGGTGGTGAAGTCAGGGCACCAGGAGCTTGAGAAGGAGAAGGAGGTCGCATTGTGTCCACTGTCAAGAATTGACTAAAGCTGGTGCTCACCTGGCTTTCTCCTTTCTGTGCAGAACCCAACAGAGGAAACGGAGCTGCCCACTCTTCCACCTCAATCCACCTAATCAAGAAAATCCTTCACAGGAGTGCCCACAGGCTAACCTAGTGTCCATCCCACAGGAGTGCCCACAGGCTAACCTAGTGTCCATCCCACAGGAGTGCCCACAGGTTAACCTAGTGTCCATCCCACAGGAGTGCCCACAGGTTAACCTAGTGTCCATCCCACAGGAGTGCCCACAGGCTAACCTAGTGTCCATCCCACAGGAGTGCCCACAGGCCAACCTAGTGTCCATCCCACAGGAGTGCCCACAGGTTAACCTAGTGTCCATCCCACAGGAGTGCCCACAGGCTAACCTAGTGTCCATCCCACAGGAGTGCCCACAGGCTAACCTAGTGTCCATCCCACAGGAGTGCCCACAGGCTAACCTAGTGTCCATCCCACAGGAGTGCCCACAGGCTAACCTAGTGTCCATCCCACAGGAGTGCCCACAGGCTAACCTAGTGTCCATCCCACAGGAGTGCCCACAGGCTAACCTAGTGTCCATCCCACAGGAGTGCCCACAGGCTAACCTAGTGTCCATCCCACAGGAGTGCCCACAGGCTAACCTAGTGTCCATCCCACAGGAGTGCCCACAGGCCAACCTAGTGTCCATCCCACAGGAGTGCCCACAGGCTAACCTAGTGTCCATCCCACAGGAGTGCCCACAGGCCAACCTAGTTTAGTCCATCCCATAGGTGTGCCCAGAGGTCTTCTTTCATTAAGTTATGAACATTCACCACTGTCACATACGCATATACATATTAAAGACGATTTTTAAATGGTTGCAATAAAAGTCCCAAGTACCAGAAAAGTGTTATAAAGGGGTGTGTGTCAGAGTATAAGAACCAAGAAACAGAAGGATGGAAATGACCCCATCCAAGCTCTAACCCTAAAGGAAGCCACTTCAGTTGCAAGCAAAACATTTAACTTCCCAGCAGCCAAACAAAACAAGACCGGTGTTCTTCCTGGGGTTCACTGTCCAATAGGAAGGGGCATCCTGGTTCGCCTGGACAAGCACACTTTGTACTCAGTCTCACCTTGAAAGCATTTCTACCCTGGCCCAGCTTCTCTGAGGGTAGTGGTCACCACCACAGAACTGGGGGACTGTCAGGGAAGACACCGGCCAGTCATGAGGGAGCGCTCTGCCTGGTGTCTTCCTTTTGGGGTCTGTTTTAATGGTGTGAAGGTCTCTCTCTGACTACTCACCTAACTACAACCTCTTTCTTTCAGGACACGGATCTCTTCTGTGATCCACTCTCTGCCGTGTGTGATGCACACACACGCGTGTGTAGCCAAGAGTTCGTTACCAGTTCCTAAGACTCGACAATGAGCTTTATAGCCCACTCTCCCTGGCTGCTGGTTCTGACTCCCCTGGCCTTAGCAGAACAAACCACACCCAGACTGCACACTTTGCTCATGCAGCACATTTTAAATACTTTTTTGGGGGGGTGGGAACAGGGAGTGATGGAACTCATTTTGTAGGTGGGTTTTCAACTAGAAATCTTTTGCCTGAACCTCCTCAGTAGCTGGGGTTATAGTCGCGAGCCACAGCACCCTGATCATGTCTGAAGTAAATTGTTTCTGCCCTCTGATCGGGACACTCCCCTGTGATGCATATCCAGGGTCACCACTACACCTCAACCTACTTGCCGAGAATCCCCAGTGTGCTTGGCTCCTGGGGCTAGTCTGAACCTCACCCCATTCTCCAGGACCCCAGGCTAGGAGTAGAAGTAACTCCCTCTGGCTGGGTACTCACCCCTCCTGGGTGGCTTCAAACCTCCTCATGGCTGCTCATGTGCAGTGCTCAGGGCCCAGCGGTGTCTGTGGTCTCCTCGGTCTCCTCCTCGGAGCCCCATGGGACTCTCTTCTAGGAGTCCCAATGAGCCCCTAAGCAGATTTCTGGGGCCAGGATGGCCCACAGGTGGCCATGCAGAGCTGGTGTGCTGAAAGGGATGAATAATTGATACATGGAGTGGAATTACAGCTGTGGATTCTGGTCCCTCCCACAGCTGTACCTGCCCTGGGGAATACTGTTCTCAGAGAGGACACCAGTGCCAGCTTGCACAAAAGATATTGCCTTATTCCTCCACACACATTTGCATACTCAATATCAGGTTCAAATGCGTTCACACAGACGAGATTAATTAACCTGACCTGGGAAAGTCTCTGCGTGTTGTTGGAGGCGGGGGAGGGAGGACTTCTCCTCTTGCAGCAGGGCTGAGAAAGCCCCAGGAGCTTCCAGCAGCTCCTCTTCCCCCATCTCTAACAAGGCTTGCAAAGGGACCCAGCTACTGAGATATAAGGTGCCCAATATCTGGAGGTTGAGGACACGCCAATGTTCAAGCTGCGATGCTCAGAAAACACTCAGTGAACAAATGTGTCACTGAGCTCCATTTGGGGGGCTGGAGGGGTGGAAAAACTAAACAGACAGACAAACAAAATCCTCGAAGGAATTATACAGCGTACGTGTGCCACAGGAACAAGGATGGAGCAGGTACAGCGGATGCCTGAGGAATCCAGGATGTTCGGGGGGCCTTCTCTGCCTATCTGGTCTTAGGCTGTCCTATAACCTAATCAATATGCTGTTATTTGGCAATGACAGTGGAAACTAAGACAGGTGGTTGGGAGCTTTACGTAATTGTCACACCAGTTCAATGACACTGAATTCTTACTGGGGTACTTCCTGAAGAAGCAAACAGAGGCAGTGGTTCCCGAGGCTGCCCGGCGAAGGTATGGTCCAAGCTGGACTTCAGCCTAGGATCTGGCTCCAATACCATACATGACAATCCTGCCCCACCCCTCTCATGCACACGTGCGCACACACACACACACACACACACACACACACACACACACACACACACCACCACACTCTTCTCTTTCCAATGTGTGATGAGGTGAAAATGAGCTGATATGGTATAAAGTGCCCCCTGAAAAGCAGAGGGTCACCCAATCCTGTAACCTTATTCCACATTTTTGTCTAAGTTTGGGTCAATTCCTAAAATCAGAAACAGTGTGTGATGGCGGGGACTATTCACCGTTTACTAGGCAAGAAAATTAAGTCACCCAAGAGTCCCCACACCTACAGTCAGGGGCCTGTGTCAGCTGCTCAGCTGGGATGTTAGCAGCTAGGCTTTCATTTGGGGACCCAGGGAGTGATACTGAGAATTCTGGAGTCCTGTAAGTTCTTGGCTCCCCCAAGCCCAAGTCTCCATTTCCCAGCGTGCTGGCAGGGAATACCATCCAGGAACGGGGGTGGGGTGGGGGAGAGAGAGATAGCAGACTCACTCACACGGCTCCTCCATCCGGTCCTCACCCTGCTCTGGGTGGACATTTCTGGGGGACAGTCTCTGCATCAGAGATTTCGCTATTTTCCTCTGAGGTTCCCCCCGTTACACACACCCCTGATAATCTTTGGAGGAAGAGTACTCTTGGACTGAACGGTGAATTTGAGGCTAGGGAGAATTCAGACTGCCTGCTCTGGCCACAGGCAGCTGTCCCTCCCCTGAACAAAGCATATTCCCTCTCACATGCCCCGGAGCCAAAACGAGACGTCGCGGTGTTTTACTCCAACTCTGACTCCATCCTGCGGCAGGACTGCAGATCAGCTTTTGATGGGATGGGACAGTTGGGAGAGATGGGAAGAGATCTGGCTGAAATACGACAAAGCCCAACCATAAGGACGTCGGCCGAGCAGCCATGCGATAATGGTGAGGACAATAAATTTACTAATTGCTGAAAGGAACCTAATCACAAAACCACGACGCCCTGGCCACTTCGGGGGGTGCCAGTTGCTCTCGCTTGTTTGAGGGATTGTAAATAGCAGGTTGGCACCGTGGTGTTTGTGGGTAGACACAGAAAGACTTTCAGGGCTCTTGTACCAGGGCAGGGGGCTCGGGATGGGGGAGGTGGTGGAGACATTACAGACAGAAACCCACAGAGAGAGAAAGAGGGAGCCTGGGAAAGGAGAGGGGGGAGGGCTGGAGGTAGAGGGAGGAAGGGGAGGGGGCTCGGCACTCTTGCCAATTCTCCCCCCTCCCTTGCACTTTCTCCATTTACATCGGAGGCTTGGCTTGGAGGCTCAACAATTGGGTTCTAATAAAGGTCCAAGGGCAGTGTGTTTCTAAAGAGCCTTGGGGTCTCAGGTGTGAGTGGGTAGCAGTAAGGTCCTGAGTTGAAGCAGCGACTTGTGTTTGGTTTGGTCTGTCCCCTTCCGGTTCTGCACCCTCCCCCCAAGTCTTTTGGGGGACGGCTAGTTACAGGTCATCCTTCACACAGACCAGGCCTTGCATCCAGACACCAGGAGTCCATTCTTGCAGCGTTTTTGAAAGCGAGGACCCCCTTATGCCTTCAGAAGATCAAAGGCAATCATCAAAGGAGCTCTTACAGCATCCCAGGGTCTGCGAAAGACACTTCTTCTGGCTGGGGGTGGGGTGGGGGCTCCCTGTGCCTCCCCTTCTCCTCAGTTGCCTGAGTTATGAGGATCTGGACAGTTGACGCATTTCTTCCTTCTTGAAATATTTGGTGGGGGTGGGGTGGGGTAGGGGTGGGGTGAGGAGGGAGTGTCAAATGATTTGTTCTGAATTACGCCCCTTTCTACGTCCCCTCTCTGTGACTTCTTATGTATCTATAGGAAGTTGCACCATTAAAGCCAGGGACCCTGTGGTACTTTTCAACTGTAGTTGAAAAGCTGATGACACCCCTTTTCTCCTCACTAACACCCCCAGCACCCCACCACACACACATAGTTAAAATACTCATGACTTAGAATTTGGGATCTTAAAGGTCAAGTTTGCTTGTGCTGAAACACCCCAGGAGGCCCCCTGAGGCTGGGCAGAGAAGGGATGTGAGGAGCACTTTGCCTGTTTTGGAACATGGACCTCATTAAGAAAGGACTATCTTCCCAAGTGGTCTTCAGGCCCTTAGTAACTCTGAGGAGAGTCTGTGGGCTGATCCCATGCAGGGTCCTGAGGAAATAGACTGCAACCTGGGACTTGTAATACTTCTGAGGTCATGGACCCTCAGGCCGCTCTGGTTCGTTCTGTGATTGAAGAGGATCTTTGGGGACCTGCACGGGGTGGGACTTTCCCTCTGCTCTTTGCTGAGCTACTTTTCCTAAATAGCATGTTCATCTTGTCTTGCTAACCCAACAGTACCAATCAAATCAGTTTTGGGGCCCATTCCAGAATCTAATTCAGCACGTCCAGGTTCTGGGCATCAGGGCAATTGTCCACAGCATTTCCTCCAGGGCTCATGGCTATCTGTGGGCTTCTTATCAGTAGTGGACTTATTTAAATGGTTTTATTGTTTTGTGTGAATGGGTATTTTGCTTGCAAGTGTGTCTGTGTGCCTGTGGATGCCAGAAGAGGGCATTGGGTCATTTAGGACTACAGTTACAGACTGTTGTGAGCCTCCATGTGGGTGTTAGGGACTGAACCCCGTTCTCTGCAAGAGCAACAAGTGCTCTTACCCTGTGAGCCTTTGCTCCAGCTCCTTCCTCCTCCTCCTCCTCCTCCTCCTCCTCCTCTTCCTTCTTCTTCTTCTTCTTCTTCTTCTTCTTCTTCTTCTTCTTCTTCTTCTTCTTCTTCTTCTTCTTCTTCTTCTTTTGTTTTTTTGATACAGGGTTTCTCTGTGTAGTTTTGGTGCCTGTCCTGGAACTCACTCTGTAGCCCAGGCTGGCCTCGAACTCACAGAGATCCACCTGCCTCTGCCTCCCGAGTGCTGGGATTAAAGGCGTGCGCCACCACCGCCTGACTTATTATTATTTTTTTTTTTTTGGTTTTTCGAGACAGGGTTTCTCTGTGTAGCTTTGCGCCTTTCCTGGATCTTGCTCTGTAGACCAGGCTGGCCTCGAACTCACAGAGATCCACCTGCCTCTGCCTCCCGAGTGCTGGGATCAAAGGCGTGCGCCACCACCGCCCGGCTTATTATTATTTTTTAATCACAAGTCATTATGGCATTTCTAACCAAGTATGTTCTGTCTTGAGGTTAACTAGAGGACTCTCAGATTCAAATCCCACCCTGAGGAAAAAGGTTCCTAGTGTTTCCTGTTCATCTCCCAGTTGCGGCCTTTGCTGGTCTCTGCCTCTGCTGGAGCCTTGCTCAACACAAGCATCATCTCTATTATGAAAACCCAAAGACCGTGTAAACATGGCCCATTCAATTTCAAAAGTTCAAACACACACCACTAGCAACTGAGTGCAATGAAACCCCATCTGTCCATCACGAACCTCCGATAATTTTCAACTTGTAACCAAGCATTTCTTTGACATCACAGTGGAGGTCTGGAGTCTTTCTAAGCAGCCAAAGCCTTTTCACTAGTGAGATGCTGATAGGATTTAATAATGGCTGTAAGTCCCAGGTTCTCCCTGAAGGAGATGGCCCCTCTCCACCGCCTTTGCACCCAAGATATCATCAGGCGTTATCTAGAGACATTCCTGTTTGTTCCAACTGATGATGAGTCGGTGTCACTAGTGGCCTCTAGAGGGCAGAGTTAGGGACACAGGATGACCCTCACAACGAGGGAGGGTCAAGCTCCAAACAGCAAAGGTCCGCACTGGATGAAAACAAATGCTTTTCAAGTAAGTGTTCCTGGGAAAATGACTTTAAAGTAGCAGTTCTCAGATAGTTACATCACAATTTATAACAGTAGCAAAACTACAGTTATGAAGTAGCAATGAAATAATTTTATGGTTGGGGGTCACCGCAACACGAGGAACTGAGCATTAGGAAGGTTTAGAACCACTGCTTTAAACAAAATCCCATTTTGAAGTCAAAAACTCTTCAGAGCATCATAGACATGATGGTTTAGTACACCCAGGGCACCCACTCCAGAACATGGAGAAGGAGCTGGGTGGGATAAACACTTGCTTTTTGTTTTTGAGACAGGGCACCAAGTAGTCCAGGCTGGTCTCAACTTAACATGTATCCGAGGATGACCTTGAACTTCTGACCCTCTGCCTTCGCCTCTCAAGTGCTAGGATTCCAGACCTGCACCACTGTGCCTCACGTATGTAGTGCTGGGGATAGAAGCAGGGCTTCATGCGTGCTAGGCAAGTGCTCTACCAACTGAGCTACATCCCAGCCTAGGGTCTGCCTTTTGGCTATTAATGCCTTTTATGCTACATGCAGATCTTACCTACTTAAAGCACAATATGAATGCCAAGGATCAGAAAACAAAAATTCTTATTTAAAGAAAACATGTTCTGGAAGGTTGCTTCGGGAGGCCAGGCACACCATCCCAATAGGCTCTTCTGAGTGCCAGAGCCCAGCAGACACAGGGGTGGGGTGTTCAGCAGAGACCTGGCTATTAGGGGAATCAGAAACATGTGGAGGGTACAGCTGACTCCACATGATGGATGGATTGTGTGAGAGGGATATTAAACGTGATGGTCCCCAGGCCATGCCTCGGACGCTAATAAGCCCTAACTCCAGAGTGGGTCCCCCAGGCCGGGTGTTGATGTGCTGGTTAAGCAGCAGACCAAGGACAGTTGGAAGGGGCACAGGCAAAGGAGGGCTGCCACCAGACCCTAGGTGGAGTCCTGTGTCTGTCTGCCTGTGGCCAGACACCCTAGGAGGTCACTTAGCCTCCACCTGATCATGGTTTTAATGAGCTGTGAATGGCAACAGAAGTGTGGAGAAGCCCCTCACACCTGACCTGTCACCTCCATCTCCTCCATCCCTGGGGGGGGAGGGGGTGCAGCCACAGTGCTAGGGAGGAAAGGCTGCAGCACCCCTGCGTGAGCTCACAGAGCACCAGGGCTGGCTCCATGCCTCACAGTCGGTTTCTGCCTTCCCACCTGGTGTCTCTAGTCCCCAGGCCTTTATATTTGCTAGGCTTCGTCTGTCTGGGTGCTATGCATGAGCTCTTCTTCCCACTGGACAGACTTCCTTCCTCTCTCTACCTGGTCAGCCTCTACCTCAGCCTGCCCTGCCCCACCGCACCCCTCCCCATCCCATCAGGCAGCACCCCCTGGCTCTCTAGCAGGTCGAAGCCTCGAGATGATCTGCTGGCTGAACAGCCCAGTGAGTAACAGAGCAGGCCTGTCCAGAGCTGTTCTCCGGGAAGGGCAGCCGAGACTGGAAAGCAAAGAAGTCTCTCAGATGTGAGAGCTGGCCCTGAGCATCCTTTTCTTGCTTTTGCAGGTGGGAAGTCCAGTGTGTAGCCGGTTCTGCAGTGGCCAGAGAGCATACTTGGGGGGCAGTGTTCCCCACTCTTCCCTCCTTTTGTTTGAGGGATGGGCTGACCATGAGCCGTACCAGGGATGCTCCTCTGCAAAGGTAAGGCCTCCTTGACTCAGTGACCGAAGCGTGCTCAGCCGCTCTTTCTCGGGCATGCTCCAGTTACTAAATAGTTTGAGACGTTGGCTTTTCTCTATGTCTGGTGCCCAGATAGGCTGTGAGCAACATGAGCTGAGGTTTATGTCCCTCTCTGTTAGTCTTCCAATCCAGCACAGGCCTCGAGCACAGAGCCACTCAACAAATGTGCACAGAACAGGCTCCTGCTGGTCACTCGCCCTCCGGTGCTGGTCACTCATCCTCCGGGACACAGGGATAATTTCTATGGTTAGTTTGTTGTTTGTTTTTCCCACGTGTCTGTCTTTCTGTGATTTCTGTCCACAGAGCACAAAGGGAACTGCGCCTAAGGGCCACTTGCTTCAAGCAGAATGTTAGACTCCTTCAGGTGCCCCTTTACACCAGACTCATGAGCGGGCGCACGCACATCTCAGCTGCTGAGGATCCTTATTGAAACCCAAAGTGGCAGTAGGGAGAGGCTGTGAGTTGAAAAGGCTGTCTGTGGTGTTGAAAGATAAATGGATGAAGGTAACAAGCAGATCTCAGGGAAGACAAGTTATCCTTGGGGTGCAGAGGCTAAACTAGGCCTTAGACCACGGCAGACACACGGTCATTTCAAGACAGCACATGGGGACTCCTCTCTTTTCCTCATTTCCACACTGAGTCTTCTCTCTCCCAGGTCTCAGAGGAAGCACAGTGACTCAGGCAGGGTAGCTTCTTCTGCTTGCTCACCCTCACACAAGACTACTACCCTCAGAGTCCCCAAGGAATGACCCTGCTGACTCAGGACCCCAACTTCCTGTTAGAAGACTCTTGGGACCACTCATTTCTGTTTGCACCACAGAGCACAGAGCCTTGTTATGGTGGCCCTGCACCCGTGAACCCGGAGACTGGACGGTCTGATTGAACTCATCTGGGTGGCTCTGTTGAGTGGAAAGAGGACCCTGTGAGTCCAAGCTCTACCATTGGACTTCATCCCAAGCTCACTCCTGCCCTCAATGCCAGTCTCTGGCTGCCATTCTTGCCTGTGTGTTTCTGGCCTCCAGCTGTAAACTCCTTCAGGCTGAAGCACTGATTTGTTGTTGGTACTGGGTGCCAGACATAGACCGGGTACACCACAAATGACATTGGAGGGTAACAGCACCAGTTAGAGAAGGGTCCTAACAGCAGGTTTTCTGAGCTCCCTGTGAGACACCTGAGCAGGTAGGCAGAAGGTTAACTGGAAGACCCCAGATGCCGGAGGCTGTAGGGCCATAATTTGGGACAGATTTTTGACATGAAAACACACACACACACACACACACACACACACACACAAAAGTAGGGCTGGAGACACAGCTCAGTAGCAGAACATCTGCCTACCATGTGTGAGGTCCTGGGTTCTATCCCCAGCACCGCAAGAAAATAAACTGATAAGCAAACAAAAACACAAAAGAAAGCAAGGTGGCGTTCTCCTTGACGTTGGGGATGAGGTGAGAGGACCGTGGTCGGTTCCGCGGGGCTGTCCTGGCCCCACGTCCTCACTGTTCTGGCGGCTTACAACCGTCCTTCTTTGGCTGCCCCTTTAATCATTTTTAAAGGACCGTTCAGGGCAGGAAGAAGCGGGGCAGGAGGCTGTCTCATGTGAGACTTCCACAGTTTTCGAACAGTAAAAAATGGGAGCGGTGATAAAGTTCCCTCATCCATCAGTCATCCACCCCCAAACATTTGCAACTGATTACACTCTTCAGAGCTGGCACGGAGGCATGAGGTATTCCCGTGAGCGGCCAAGAGCAGGAAGGCGAGAGGGTAGCTCTGAAACACGGTCAGGAGGAAAATGCTCCCGGGTAATAAAAAACCTGCAGAGACTGGTCATTGCCTCCCTCAGCAGCGAAACATCCAGCTCGGCTTAAAAAAAAATAAGAAAAGAAAAGGAGAGGGGGGCCATTCGTTTCAAAGCTGACCGTGGCTGGCGCTGCCCGTCTAAGTGGCCTTTAGAGTCTCTGTCCTCACTCTAAGGTTCCCCAGGACACAGAGGCCTGCAGGCTGCATCTAGGAGGCCAACTTGGGGTACTTGGTGCTGTGGATATTGTACTCTATAAATAAAACACTGATTGGCCAGTGACCAGGCAGGAAGTATAGGCGGGACAAGCAGAGAAGAGAATTCTGGGAAGCAGAAGGCTGAGGAAGGGAGTCACTGCCAGCCACCGCCATGACAAGCAACATGTGAAGATGCCTGTAAGCCACAAGTCATGTGGCAAGGTATAGATTTATGGAAATGGCTTAATATAAGATATAAGAACAGTTAGCAAGAAGCCTGCCACGGCCATACAGTCTGTAAACAACATAAGTCTCTGTGTTTACTTGGTTGGGTCTGAGCGGCTGTGGGACTGGCGGGTGAGAGAGATTTGTCCTGACTGTGGGCCAGGCAGGAAAACTCCAGCTACAACTTGGCGTCTGGGTTCCATTCCTAGCTAAGCCTCGTTGACCTGAAATCCCGAAAGGGTCCTAAGGTGTTTGCAGAAGTCTGCCTGAGTGGTCACTGTCTCTGACCTAGAGATGACCGTGGTTGGCTTGGATTTGAGACTTGTCCCTGAAGCCCACAAAATCAATTTAGTTTTTTGGCAAACTAGAAGGAAGTAGAATGTGAATCCTTAGCACAAAGGTGTCAAAACAAACCGAGAAGGACCCCATGCGGTTTCTGAAATGAAGGCATCTCAATGCCCAGCCTTCCCCATGACCAGGTGCGCTCTCTCTCTCTCTCTCTCTCTCTCTCTCTCTCTCTCTCTCTCTCTCTCTCTCTCTCTCTCTCTCTCTCTCTCTCGGAGCCATCTCTACCCAGGCCAACTCCTGACCCTAAGCAAGCAACGCCTTTGCAGTTGGATTTCCCTGTGCACAATGTTTAAGGTGCTTGAGAACTGTGGGCGCTCAGCCCTTCATCACTCTGTCCTCTAACAGCTTATGTCCCTCCCTCACAGGGACAAGCAGCTGCTGCTCTTGGCGGTCCCCTTGGTTGGGCCCGGGGCAGGATGCCTGGCAAGGAAGATCTCACCTGTGTAGAGTGCAGATGGAATAGGAAGCAGGGGCTGGGCTATTAACTGCAGCCCACCCCGCTCCCAGTGACCCACCCCGCTCCCAGTGACCCACTTCCCAAAGGTTCCATGACACCCAGAAAGCGCACCAGCCAGGCACCAACCCTTCAAACACAGCATTTTTCATCCAAACCATAACAGCCAGGGCCACAATCTAAAGAGCTATCTATACACAATGCTCAGTAGGAATCAGAACTTTAGTTTTGAGTGGTCCATTCTCTTACCCCTTAAGATGTTCACAAGCTAGATGCTCTCTTCACAGATGGGGTAAGTAAGGCACAGAGGAGTTAGGAAATTTTCTCAAAGTCACACAGCAGAGATTCTGAGGTCAGAGGGTTTTGTTGTTTGTTTTTTGAGACAGTGTCTTCTGCATCCCAGGCTGGCCTCCAGCTCTCATCTGAGGGTGACCTCGAACTTCTGATCCATCTGCCTCCATCTCCCAGTGTTGGGATTACAAGCACGCTCCACACCTGGTGTTAGGTGGTGCTGTGGATAGAACCCAGAGCACCGGTCAGGCTAGGCAAGCCCTCTGTTGCCTGAGCTCCATCCTAGTCCAGTGTTCCGGGGTTTGAGCCCAACATCACACTGTGGCAAGCAGTACCAGCCTCTGGATGTCATCTAAATTCTCAGTCCCTTGGGAGCAAAGCTATTCTGCAGTTTTTCTGAGCGGGATATATCATCATGGAGCGGGCGATTCACGCACACTGTGTTCTGCCCCTCGCCACAGCGTGCAGAGGCCCAGCATCTTTGATGCCCACGGCCCCCTGAGAATGCTAAAGACACCCCCAGACCAGTCACCCATGTCACTCCTCAAATCCAGTGCTTATGGAGCTATTTCCCAGTCGCTGGGCATCTCCAGTTCTAAGCGTCCATGGGCACCTGTGGAGCAAAAGCTGGATACTTACAATTCTGTCCAACTGGGGATGTTTTCAGTGGGTCACTTCTCTTGCAGGCTCTGAGCGCTGTTTTTCCAGTGTGTGGAATGTGTTAGGAAGGGCTTGGAGTGGATTGCCGTGCCACAGGCTAACCCCACCTTGACTCACAGAAATCGCTGGAAAACACAGAACACAGAGGCTCTAGGTGGAATGACATGCCAGGACTGGAATCAGCCCTGGGGAGAACGGGACTGCGCTCCAGCCCCACATGGGGTGCACTGTTACGCTTCAAAACAACTTATCAGCGATTTAGTCTCATTAAGTTGTAAGAAAACAGGAGGCATGAGCCAAGGCCGTACGTTTCTTCTGTGTCCGTTCATTGCCAATGTTTTGTAAAACCAAGGAGTGCGGGAGTCTGCAGGGGCTTGCCTCTCTGATGGATAGATGTGGAGTTTGTGGGGGAACTTTTCCAAGCCGTCTGGAAAGCCAGCTCATTAGGCCTCCAGGCAGCTGTTCTCTTTCCCCTGGGATGGCTGGTCAGTGGGTGTGAAGGACAATCTCCACACACAGCTGGGTCCCACCTACCAGTTTTACTGGAAGCTTCTGAGGCTGAGTGTGGGGACAGGCAGACTGGGCTTTCTGTGTGTCTGTGTGTGTGTGTGTGTGTGTGTGTGTGTGTGTGTGTGTGTGTGTGTGTGTGTGTGTGTGTGCGCGCACATGCCCCTGTACCCCTTCCCTGGTACACTTTGTGCACAGAGAATCTGATACAGTCTGTATTTTAGGATGAAGAATTTTTAAAAGAAACGACCCCCTTAGTCGTCTTTCATCCAATTTTATCCCAAAGTAGCCAGTCAGCTCCACGCTGCAGTCTCTTTGCAAAGACTCTTCACAGGAGTCTGAGCTGGCTGGGCCAGTGGTGACTAATTTCATGACTTCACTTCCAAATGCTGAGGTGACCCCCTGCTGACTGGCTGGCAGATGTCAGTGGCACTGCTGGTCACCGCGGGGACCCTTCCATCTTGCCATGCACAGTGCCCAGGCACAGGGTCATGTCAGTCACCTCTCTGGGGTCTTCAATTGAGCAAGTGTGAACTCCAGAATATTCTAGAAACGCTGGTGTAATTCAGACTCTAAAATCTCTTCCAGGTTTTTCAGACTCACCCAGGGTCAGAAGGGGCCTAGAGCAGGTCTATTCTGTGACAGAGACTCAAGTAATGTGCCTTCTGCCTGGGGCCGCCTCTCATGCCTGGCTCCTGTGACTCACGCGATGCAGCCATCTTCACGGGGTCTTACAGCCAGTGTTTTGTGAACCTCGATGTGGTAGGAAACCACAGCCTCCGAGTCTAACAGGCTTATGGACAAAGACTGGTTCTGCCCCTTCTATGACACGGCCTTGTCCTCTTTCCTCACCCTTTGAGCAGGCATCTGTGGGCGGCGAGTGACATTTACTGGGTGACCAGCCATGCTGCACTTAGGATGGATTCTCGGGTGCAAGGTGCAAGGAACCTGGATTCTCTCCTTACCCACAGCTACCCTCCTAAAAGTCTCAATAAATGGAATTTTACCCTGCTGTGGGTTGAGTGAGAAATGTCCCCCATGGCCTCATGTGTTGAGCACTTGGCCCCTGGCTGATGGAACTGTTTTTGAAAGGCTGCGGAGCCTTTAGAAGGTGGAGTCTTGCAGGAGGAAGTGGATGACTTGGAGGGTGGACCTAGCCTCCCCTCCTGCCTGCTGTTTGCTCCCTGACTGTCGACGTACTCTGGCCTCATGGCCCTGCAGCCATCCCTTCCCCACCGTCTGGACTGTGTTCTTTCAAACTGTGAGCCGAAGGAAGCCCTTAGCCCTTAACTGCTTCTTATCAGGTATTTTCTCAAAGCAATGGGAAAGTAACAAATAAGTAGCTTCGACTGATTCTTCCTTCCTTCCTTTCTTCCTTCCTTCCTTTCTTCCTTCCTTCCTTCCTTCCTTTTTGTGGTAAAGATATTAAATATGAGATTTGCCAAAAATGTAATTAATCGTTAAAAGTATTGCTAATTAGAGATACAACACTCAGCTCTCTGGGACATGCTTGTCTTACAGACTCAGAATTGGACGTGCATCAAATATCAATTCTCCTTCCCCAGCTCCCCAACTCTGAAACGTTCCGTGAATTTAACTATTTGAGATAACCAAATAGGTGAAATCATTCGATATTTGTTTTCTGCGATGCTCTCATTTCACCTGGCACAATGCCTCTAGACCCACCCACATCATCACCCATGGCAGAGCATCCTCCTGGATTTGAATAAGACTCCGTTGTGCATATGCACCACATTTTCCTTATGCATCCATCTGCTGGTGGACGTTCAGATTGCCTGCACAGTTTGCCTATGGTGAATGATGTTGCAATAAATACTGGAGTGTGAACATTCCTTTGGGGTCCTAATTTCAGTTCTTCAGGATAAACACCCTGAAGTGGAATGTCTGGCTTTGTGTTTCTGTCTTTGGCTTTCTGTGGATCCTCTATACTGTTTTCTGTATCTCTGGTGTCATTTTGTCCTCTCACTGTCACGGCGAGCTCGTTAGTTTTGTGAGCGAGGTACAAGCTAGAGTTTCATGAGACGAGGGAGCTTCAACCGAGGAACTGCCTTATCAGATTGGCCTGGAGACATGACTTGGGCATTTTCTTGATTAATGATTGATGTGGGAGGGCCCAGCCCATGGTGGGTGGTGCCGTCCCTGGGCCAGTGGTCCTGGAGTCTATAAGAAAGCAGGCTGAGAAGCCGTGAGGAGCAAGCCAGTCAGCAGCTGTGCCATGGTTCCTGCTTCTGCCCGCTTGAGTCCCTGCCTTGACATCCCTCCACGATGGACTGTGATCAAGATGTGTAAGCCAAATAAACTCTCTCCTCCCTAAGCGGATTTTGGTCAGTGTTTTCTCGCAGCAACAGAAAGTAGCTAGGACACAACTCTCATCAGCACAGCCTCTAGCTTTTCCACATCCTCACCAGCACCTTCGGTTTTTGATTAGAGCCATCTTATCATGTGTGAGATGTGTCTCATTGCCACGCCGACTTGCAATTTCCTGATTAGTGATTCATATGCCCATTGCACAATTATGTTAGCATTTCTATTGTTAGAAGTGTCTGTTCAATTGTTTTTGTTCTCTATGCTCCAAATCAGGTCTGTTTTCTATTGAGTTGAAGGGGTTCCTTCTACGCTTTGAATATTACCCCTCGTTGACACACACACACACACACACACACACACACACACACACACACACACACACACACACACGGCAGTTCCGCAGCTTGTCTCTTCTGCCCATGGCTGTTTCTTTGGCTGTGTAGAACCTATCTAGTTGGCAGAATCACATTTCTTTCTTTCGGGGGTACTGCTGAGACAGATGCCATGGTTTCTTCCCAGTGTTTGCTCCTCTGTGGCGAAGGCCATGGGCTGATTCTTTAAATGCCTTTGGAGTTGGTTTTTGCATGTGGAAGAAAGTCCAGTTTCATTCTTCTGCATGTGAAGAACCAGTTTCCCCAACACCGTCTGTCAAAGTATCACTTCCCCCGTGTTGACTCTCGCATCCTCACTGAAGACCAGTTGGTCCTATACCTGTGAGATTCTTTGCAGATGCTTGCTTCTGTCCGTAGGTCTCTGTGTCTGTCTTTATGCCATAACCACAGCTTTAGCTAGTGTAGGTTTGTGTTCTGTGATTTGTTTTGGGAAGATGTAAATAAAGGTCTGTTTACCCGCAGGCAGGGCATCAACAGCACACCAGAGGAGGACTGGGCCCAAGCCTCATTGGTAAGCCTAGGAATTTAATTGGCATTGACGGACAGGAACATGGGTGAGGATCACACACAGGAACGTGGGTGAGGGTCACACACAGGAACATGGGTGAGGATAACACACAGGCACGTGGGTGAGGGTCACACACAGGAACGTGGGTGAGGGTCACACACAGGAACGTGGGTGAGGGTCACACACAGGAGCGTGGGTGAGGGTCACACACAGGAACGTGGGTGAGGGTCACACACAGGAACGTGGGTGAGGGTCACACACAGGAGCGTGGGTGAGGGTCACACACAGGAACGTGGGTGAGGGTCACACACAGGAACATGGATGAGGGTCACACACAGGAGCGTGGGTGAGGGTCACACACAGGAACGTGGTGAGGGTCACACACAGGAACGTGGGTGAGGATAACACACAGGAACGTGGGTGAGGGTCACACACAGGAGCGTGGGTGAGGGTCACACACAGGAACGTGGGTGAGGGTAACACACAGGAACGTGGGTGAGGATCACACACAGGAACGTGGGTGAGGGTCACACGCAGGAACGTGGGTGAGGATCACACACAGGAACGTGGGTGAGGATCACACACAGGAACGTGGGTGAGGATAACACACAGGAACGTGGGTGAGGATAACACACAGGAACATGGATGAGGATCACACACAGGAACGTGGGTGAGGATAACACACAGGAACGTGGGTGAGGATCACACACAGGAACGTGGGTGAGGATCACACACAGGAACGTGGGTGAGGATCACACACAGGAACGTGGGTGAGGATAACACACAGGAACGTGGGTGAGGATCACACACAGGAACGTGGGTGAGGGTCACACACAGGAACGTGGGTGAGGGTCACACACAGGAACGTGGGTGAGGGTCACACACAGGAACGTGGGTGAGGGTCACACACAGGAACGTGGGTGAGGGTCACACACAGGAACGTGGGTGAGGGTAACACACAGGAACGTGGGTGAGGATCACACACAGGAACGTGGGTGAGGATAACACACAGGAACGTGGGTGAGGGTCACACACAGGAATGTGGGTGAGGGTTATACGCAGGAGCAAGGGAGAAGGTTATATGTAGGAGTGCAGGTCAGGGTAACGTACAGGAATATGGGCAATTGTGAAACTGCTAAACACGGAGGAATGGCCTCCCTTCCCGGAAGCATTGATTACTTATGTGTTCTTGGGGAGGAGAGGAACCTGGATGCCTCATGAACCTCCTGCTCCTTCCGTGAGGGGATGCTGGAGCATCTCTGGGAATCGCAGCTGCTTCATTTCAGGACAGCGCTGGCCACGTCCAGGCCAGGGCATTTCCACAGCAGCTTATGATGTATTGTGAAGTTAGGAAACCCAGACCCCTGGCTTTACTCTTCCTTCTCAGCAC